GAGTCATAAAAAGGGTGGCGGGCAAGGTACGGAAAAGCCGTCGCCGCCACGACGGATATAACCGACCGGGAGGCTCTGATGGGGACTTTGTCTAGCATGAAAAAGATCATGCCGTTCAAACGAGATCTAAATCGAAAGTTACCATCCACCTACAAAGAATTCTTAGCACGGGCGCAGAGATATATCAACGCTGAAGAAGCCGACGCCAATGATCCCAAACACAGGTCTAATAAAAACAAAGGAACAGAGCAGGAGTCGACCTCGGGGAAACAAGAAAACCGCAAACGACGAGGTGGAGACAAACAGGTCACGTCGGCCCCAAACCCTCTAGAAACGAAAAAGCCGAGGCAAGAGGAAAATTGGAAGCCTTAACCGTTCTAACGGTATGATTCCTACCATGAGCTGACCGTTGGAGTTGAAGAGATATTCAACCAGGTTGGCCGGAGGAACTTATTACGCCAACCAGAACCGATGATGTCAGACCCAAACCGAAGGAATCAAAGCAAGTGCTACAGGTTCCACGACGATGTCAGCCACAATACTAACGACTGTGCCGACCTAAAGGACGAGATCGAAAGATTAATCCGCAATGGGAGGTTGCAAGAGTTTAAAGCCGAGAGAAGAGGCCACGGCCACGGAAATAACGATCGACACAGGGAGGATAATAGACGTGGAGAGGACTGTAAGCCAGTCGGTGTCATAAGGACCGTCCATGCCGGACCATACCTTAGAGGAGACTCGCGGAGATCCCAGAAGAATTACGCTCATTAGGCGAGACATGTGTACCAGGAGAAGTTTTGGAACCTCTCGGCCACCAAAACGACTGAGATGGTAAAATTCGGTGGTACAAAAGTGGTATTCACTGAGAGAGATGCAATTGGTGTCCATTTTCTTCATAACGATGTCTTGGTGGTAGAGGCAGTTGTTGGAAACCATACCGTATGCAGAATCCTTGTAGACAACGGGAGCTCGATGGACATTCTATACTCCAATTGCCTTGAAAAAATGAGGATTCCAAAGGAGCAACTCGAGAAAACGACCCGGTCGTTATACGGGTTCACGGGGGACTCAATCATCCCCCTAGGAACGATCTGACTACCGATAACCACAGAAGAAAAGCCTAGGCCAGCAACCACGATGACAAATTTCGTGGTGATTAAAAGGGGCTCACAATATAATGTTGTGATCGGGAGACCGACCCTTCAGGCATTAAGGGCAATAACCTACATCTACCATCAAAAGGTCAAGTTTCTGACCCCCAATGCCGTAGGGGAAATGAAAAACAACCAATACGAGTCCAGGGTTGCATACGCAGACGCCATATGCGGATATGACCAACCAGGGAAACAAGAAACAAGAATGGTACACCAAGGACCAATTGAGGACATAGATCCTAGAGTCGAAGAGGAGGTTACATGGTCTTAACCAATCGAGCTGTTAGTGGAGGTCCAGGTGGATGATGAGGAGCTGACGAAGGTACTAAAGGTAGGCTCGGACTTGCCCCCGGCACTTAGGATCAACGTCGAAGACTTCCTAAAGAAAAATCTCGATGTGTTCGCCTGGACACACGCTGACATGAAAGGGATCGACTCTGAAGTCATGTGCCGCACTTTAAACGTCGACCCCTCTTATCCTCCTAAGCGTCAAAAGCGTCGACCAGTGAATCTAGAGAGGTATGAAGCATAAAAGAAGAGGTCAATAAATTGATCAGTAACAATTTCATCAGGGAGGCTCACTATCCTAGATGAGTTTTAAATCCCGTCTTGGTAATCAAGCCTAATGGGAAGTGGAGAACGTGTGTTGACTTTAGCGACCTCAACAAGGCATACCTAAAAGACGAGTTTTCACTCTCTCGAATAGATCAAATGGTCGACGCCACTGTCGGACACGAGCTGTTAAGTTTCATGTACGCTTACTCCGGTTATAATCAAATTCTTATGCATCCATCTGATGAAGAGCACACATCATTCATAACAGACAGGGGCCTCTATTGCTACAAGGTGATGCCCTTTGGCTTAAAGAATGTAAGGACAACATACTAGAGCTCGTAAACAAGATGTTTGCTAAACAAATCGGAAAGACGATGGGGGTTTATGTTGATGACATGCTGGTGAAAAGCACTAA